TTTGTATCAAGAGTATTTTTATCAAAAAAATTAAAAAAAAAAACGTGACCAAAATTAATTTTGGTCACACTTCTGATTTTTTCTTTTTTACTTATCATGCTTCTTTTCAATCTCATCCTCTTCTCCATCGGAATTAGATTACTTTAAACTGCTAGAAGTACTGTAGGCAGTATTTCTTATTTTTTGATTTACTATTATATTCTTGGCATCGCTTTTATAAATTTTTTCTGCTATTGTTTTTAAGCCTTGTTTTGCTCGTAGTATTTGGTTTTCTTCCAATAGTATTGTATATCTAGCATTAACATAAACTGCAGCTAAAAATATATCATTATCAAAAGATTTTTCTAATTGTTCCTGCATAGATTTTGAAATGTCTTCTGCAAATAGTCCTTGATTCTTCTATTAAGATTTTTCCAGAGCTGCTCCAAAGCCCTGTCACGGCTCTGTTGAGCCCGTAAACATGACGAATTGACGTTTAATGAGGTATCAGACTTTATTAGGAAAAGAAAAACGGTTTCTGAGGTTAAAATTTCAGGTCACCATGGATCAACTAGTAACTGAGATTAAAAGGTGAAGACAAGCTTATGCTTCTCTTGTTTTGGATTCTTTATCCGTCTTTTAGATATGGATTCTGTTGCGATCACAGCGTGCGCTAAAGAACTTTTTTTAATTTACCAAAACGATGCGGACATTTATATTCTTAATAAAAAACTGCATTACAAGAACTTTGTTTAATATAGAGGACTTTTTTAAACTTCAAAAAAAGGTATTGAAAAAAGGAAATTGCTACAATTCTAATAGAAGACAAAAAAAAAATGCTTTTCAGCGCCAGCATTTACTTGTTTGTTTTTGGACAATGCAGTAGTTTTAATTAGCAATATATAAAAAATTAGCATATAAAAAAATCGACTTGAAAAACGGATGCTATTTTTTTCAGGGAGGGGAGGGGGTCTGGAGAGGCCACAACCGTTATTTCGCAGGGGGCAGACTTAAAGGTATATATATATATATATATATATATATATATATATATATATATATATATATATATATATATATATATATATATATATATATATATATATATATATATATATATATATATATATATATATATATATGACAATTAAATAATTCAAATGTCGACTCAATCGACGAATGTACTTTCTAAAGTCGACTAAATGTCGACTTAGTCGAAATATGGGAATAATTTATTTTTAAAAATAAATTGTTATTTTTGTTTTCTATATTTTAACATCATATCAGTTAAATGTTAATGGAGCAAAACAAAATGAGAGAACGGACAAAAAATAGGTAATTGTTAAATTAGAAGTCGTACTTCCTAAATTAGCAATTCACCATGTACACTGCCACCGGCAAATAATAAGAAAATTTTTGCAAGTTTTGGTAGAATAATGTTTTGCGTTTGCTAACCAACTCTTGTAAGGGTTTGCTGTCCAATTTAAGCGAACGGTTTCATGTAAAAACTAATATCATTTGCAATTGGAACTTTTCTTTCTCACATTTTCATACGTGTGCCTTTTTTTTTTTTTTTTTTTTTGTAGAGATTAGTTTGATTGTTTTTCTTACGAAGTAGAACAAAATCAATACCGATGCTACTAGCCACCTTTCACTGAGAAGAATTTATCGGATTGTTTTATCACAACTGTATAATTAACATTTCCATAATGTTTAAAGTTCAGGTTGTAGTGAAGTATATAAATATCAACTTCTAAAATTACCTCTGAAATGCAAATACTTTTTTTTTATTTTTTTTTAGGACCCCCGCGAAGTCAATACGGTCTTATCTTAGAGCTCTAAGGAAGAAAGAAAATTCACGCATCCTTCCTTACCAATCTTACAGAATTTGACTAGAGGTGGTATCGAACCAAGAATCTCTCGCTTCTGAGGCAAGCAAGCTAACCACTGCACTATAACTGCTATACCTGAGCTGGTTAATTAAATATACCTGACTGAGCTATAAAAAATATTTGTAAAACTTTACAAATATTTTTGTGCCGCTTAGATTCTTTCAAAACATCTTATAATAAACAATTTCACAACGATAATAGAACTTTATCCATTTCAGGTTATTTTTATAACAGGATCAATAATGATATTTGTTAAAGAAGAAAGAGTGGTCATGAACAGAATATATAAGTTTATTTATAAACCATTTAATCAAATAAGTAAATATTTAGTGCTATTATGTAGAAAATCATAGAAAAAGTCTCTAATTATCTTATCAATGATCTTATCAAAACCATATAATTTCTTAATAATCAAACGTAGCATTCTTACCAGAAACCAACATTCTGTGTTTGTGAGACTTGTGAAATTGCTTGAATAACGTTTACTCAAAGGTCTAAAAATAGAGGAAGAACCAAGCTCGACAGAGTAAATCTGATATTTATACTACATAAATATTTCAAACATAGAATTTAAAAACTTATAAAAAAACTTAATTATAAAATCTGAAAGCCTAGATGTAAATTTTATCTTTCATATTAAAAAACATAAGATACCGAACTTTGATGCTTAAAAGTATTGAATAAAAACTAGCGTGAAAGCAAGGTAAAATCAAGGTTGCAGTTGAAAATAAAACACAGTTAAAATAGTTAGACTGTTTGTCTTTGAACAAAATAAATGCTCCTCTAAATCCATATTTATTTCACTGAAGAAAAATTTATCTTGGTAATAAGTTTAAAAACTTTTTAGGACTAAGTAATATTCTGTTCTTATCATATTTAAAAACTGGAAGAGAAGAGACTCTATGAAGAGTTTAAATCAAGTTAGGTAAAGAAAAAACAAATTAGGTAAAAAAAAGTGTTTTTAAATGATAAATTTCATTTTCTTAACGAAAAATATTTTAAAAAGATAAACCCATTTTTTTTTTTTAAACTTTATATGATACTATTTTAAAATAAACTTAAAATTTTTCATAATTTTTTTTTTTTTTTTTTTGATGAATTTCTATCTTCATTATGATATTACAAAAAAGCCACCACCTGCATTTCGTTGTTGGTCAACTGATAAGTAAGTAATTAGTCCAAACTACAGATTTGTTTCCTGGATTTACAACAGTTTTCTGTCAGACTATCTTAAGTTGTGTATGGTTTCATGCAAAGGTTTTATTCAAACTTCAATTAGTAATATTTAAAATTGTAAAAGTGTTCTCATTTGGTCCGAGATACTGCAAAGATTATAAGTTATATTGACGTTTTAACGTTGAAAGGTAAAGAAAAAACGCGGAGTTAAAAAAACACGAAATAGTTGCTCTTTACAATTATAACATTGCTCTGTTCTAGCATAATTGATCAATAAAATGTAAAATTTAAACAAATAAACATTTATTTTTTTTTACTTTTTCTTTTTATATATATATATTATTTAATTTTACATTTATATAACATTATTCAATTATATAATAATTTTATCTATAGTCATTGGTCAATTTATAAAAAGTGCAAACATTACATTTTGCAGGAGAAGAGTTAGAAAATTTGATTGGTAATAATAAAAAATAAATTAATTTTCATAAAAATAAATAATTTTTTATAAAACTACAGCAATCATAGTTTGACTAAATGAAGGATCCAACGAAATATAATGAAAAACCTAACGAAATATAACAAAACTACATACTTATCTTAAAATGACCTATTTGGTACTTATCTTAAATAGACTAATGGCCACATGTGACCACTAATGGCCACATCTATAACTATATATTGTTTATATTAAGCTCAGCTTTATTAAATAAATTTGAATAAAGAATTTCTTAGGTCTAGGTCATAGGTCTTTAAGTATATAGAATTTTTCTTCAGTTAGTGGAGTAGAAAAACTTTTTGTCTCAAAGTAAGAACTAAGTATGGAAAAAATCTAAAAAAACTTTTATAAAATAAATATTACAAAACTATTGCAAAAATCAATTAGATAAATCATTATCCCTACCAAACTTCAGAGAAATGCTAATACTTTTCTTCCAGCAATAAATTTTGGAATATGCAGCTAACATCCGGAATTTTTATCGGCAGTATGATAAAGATAAACTAAAGAGTGAAATTTACTAGAATTGAAATTTTATGCTTTTTTTAAACCTTATTGAAATGCTACTAAAATTGAAATTTTAAAAGGATACAGTTGTGAAGAGAGATTAAAAAGTTAATTTTACTATTGCTTGAAAACAGGAAAAGTTCTAATACAAATGTTTAAATATTTGAAATGATATGATATTATAAATTTTCAAAGCAAACCCGAAATACTAGCTGATGACTATAATGCTGGGGGCCACAATAGTAAGCTGAGAAGGTAATATACAGGAAATACAAAACGACACATTACATTTCCTGTTTTTTCACCAATTGAATGGTAAATGACTGGAACAAGAAGCATTCAGTGTCAATCAATTCAAAAAAAAAAAATTTAATACAAACTTTTATTATGTTTGTATGTTGTGTGTTGCAGTTTAGACTCATCACACTTCAAGTGTGCAGCGCTATTATATATACTATTAATTAGCGTTAAATTTTTATCTAAAATATCTGGATTATATAGATCACTTCATAGCCTATAGATAAGATGAGAAAAATAAACCATTATGGACTTAAAATCTTTTGATGGTTATATTGGTATTTAAATGACAATTTCAATGTAAAAATTGTTAGGATTTTTTTTCATTATAATGCTTTCATTATAACTTTTTTTTCAATATAATGTTTGATTGAGTTAATTAAAAAAAAAGATACTCCTATTGTTTTGTATCACAAGCTTTAAATAAGGGTGTTTCCTAACTTTTATTTATATAAAAAAGTGAACAAATATTTCTGAAGCCAAATAAAATAATTATCAAATAAATATTTTTAGAAGTAAACATTAACAAGATAATTATTAAAATTAGAAAAGTTAAGTTAGAAATTTTTATTTTTATTAAATAATTATTTTATATTTAATTACAAAAATACTTATATATTAACATAACAGGTATCTATATTACATACCTCGACCGTTGCCATTTTTATGAATGTTCTATCACCAGGTGATATTACAAACCCATCACTCATAACCGGAGATTCTTGTTGATTATGTATAATTAGTTTAATGCCGTTGTAAGGGTAACTACTAATTATTTCATTGGTATGTACATCAAGACCAAGCTCGTATCCGTACGTTAAACCCTCGTGGTCTACTGACAATAGATTAAAACCTTTTTTCCCTGAGTTAAGCGTAAAGCAAAGTTGATCTTTAAAATTAAAATATTCTGTGAAGTTTTCAATTCCACAGGGATTGGGGCCTATATATGGATGAGTAGTGTTTCTACTTATCCAATCGCAATAGAAATGCATTTTATCAATTTGCAATGAACTCCTTTTTAAAATATCAGCAAGCTCGTTCCCAGGTATATCAAATCCTGGATCAATCCAATTTTTATCCAACGGAAGCCGATCAGCATCATAAAGTTGTTTTAAAATGCTGTTTTGCACTCTACTAATGTTAAAATTGTTTATTGGACAAATACTAATTGCAGGGAAAGTGAGAACTTCAGGAAAATCTTCAGTGGATAATGTGCTAAAGGGATATTGAAAGTATTCTATTATTCCAACTTTTAACTTGAAAACAAAATAAATTCCACCAAGTAACATTAAAACTGCCCACAAGACTCTACGTATGTAAAATGTATCTGAACATACATAAGCATATCCATGCAAAGTTGAGGCTTCTATGTAGCGAGAAAATATTTCTTTAGCGTTGAGACGTTCTTCTGCAATCTCTTTTAGTTTTTTTTTTGCGGCATTTTTAATCAATGAAAGTGATTGTTTTCTTTGAAAATATTCAATCTTTTCGTTAATCAATTTTGAATATGTATTTCTTCTTGAAGAAAATTTAAAAGACTTTAAAACTTCAACTTCTGAATCGGTATCCGTATCACTCAGCTGCTCTGGATTATTTAACTGTCTATTACTTTCACATAAAAGATTTCTTTTATTTTCACGAATACAAATACTATTATTGTCTTGCGTATAAGAAAAGAGCGGGTTTAAATATAAACTACTTTGATGGGGGACATCCGGGGTATAAACGTTTAGCCTTGGATTATTTTCTAAAAGTGATGTCGAAGAACTTGTTTTGAGAAGTGGAATGTCTAAAAAAGTTGATCGTTGATTGTCCTCTTTTTGTGATTTAGTTGCGGCTGCTTCATTTGTTTCTCTGATGATGCTAACAACTTTATCAGACAACCTTTTCATTTATGCAACTTTTTATGTATATAGTATTACTGTATTTACCGTTTTATGACTAATAAAATGATCTGATGTTTAGCTCAATATAAACTATTGTAGGAAACCTTTTATATATATATATATATATATATATATATATATATATATATATATATATATATATATATATATATATATATATATATATATATATATATATATATATATATATATATATATATATATATATATATATATATATATATATATATATATATACATATATATATGTATATATATATCCTTTTAGTTTTTAATACTTTTATTAAATTATCTAACATAATTATTGAAACAAATATTTTTATATATTATAAAGACTATGACGTTGCAAAATTAGTTATGATAAAAAGGTAAATGTGGTATATAGAATAAATATGAGTTTGTACATGTACGTATACGTACGTATATGTATATGTACGTATGTATATGAATTCCGAACACGCACACTGGTCCTCAACGAAATCAAAATTGGTACAAATGTCAATAAAAATTGTTTGTAGATCCTCAAAGAACTCTAATATGAGATCATAAATCTAATGAAGTTAAAATCTTGCTTGTTTTAAATATTTAGATCGTCTTTAGAATAAATCATGTTGCTGATACTTTTAAACACCTTTTTTAAATAATGTTGGCTCATTTAGATTATTTGCTATTAATTTTATTATTTAGATTATTTTTAATTTTAACTTAAAAATTAAAAAAAAAACTTGTATTTCTTAACAAAATAATCTACGTTAATAAAGTTATGAACTATTTTATACTAAAAATAAAAATGAAAAATATTGAAATTAAAATTGATTAATAACTATAGTTAAAGTTTAATTATAGATATATAATTCATTATAGTTAGTTATAAATTATTGATAATAAAAAAGTTTTTCATATTAATTTTATTATATAATTATTTCTTACTTGCAAAGTAAACTCTCTAATACTTATACATATATACTTTTGAAAATATATGAAAAAGTACATTTGCAAACTAAAGAAACCATGTTGTACCACATGTGACCACTAATAGCCACATCTATAACTATATATTGTTTATATCGAGCTCAGTTTTATTAAATAAATTTGAATAAAGAATTTCTTAGGTCTAGGTCATAGGTCTTGAAGTATATAGAATTTCACATGTGGTACACCATGTTGAAATTTACATAATGTTGAAATTCACACAATGAAATTCTACACCATGTTGAAATTCACATATGGTACACCATGTTGGAAAAAAAATCTAAAATAAAGTTTTAATAACAGCGATTAGAGTGTTGACTTTTGGTCAAAATGTCCTAACCCTCCGGTTGGGCCATAAAAAAACGTTAACGACAATTCCCTTATTAAATGCTACTCGTTTGTATCCGCGGTACTTGATAAAAACGAGTTCGAAGATTTAAATAAGTACATCCTATTTTGTTAATTGATAGATAAATTGTGACAATTAAGTTTTTGTTTAAGATTCTAAAGAATTGGGTACAACTTGAAATTTTTTCATTTTTTTGCTAATTTTGCATATAATCTTTAACATAGTACTCTGTAGAGTATTTAATTAGGAAGTTAAACCTTTCTCTTCCTATTCCATAAAATATAGCTAGAGCAGATGCTCTAACCATTGGACCACTGTTATTCACATTATTACCCAACAGACATTCTAGGGCGGAATTCTAGTGGACCATTAGTATCAGCCGCCAGAAGTGGGAAGCCGATGATTAGCAGCTATACAATAGGTAAGAAAGTTATCGGACGGCCACTGATAGCGGATGTCTTTAATGGTCCACTAAGTAACTAATGAGCAAAACTTTTTTTTTTAAATTTTTTTATTATTATTAATATTTATTTAAACGTTTACATAATACTTAAAATTTTTGTGAACTAAAATATATAAAGATGGCAAGGACAAGAAGAAGACGCTTTTGTCTTACCAGCAAGTCCTTAAAACTCTAATTAACCGCTCAAAATAAGTTCACTGTAAATCCACTGCAACAATATCTTCTGAGTAATAACTTATTTTTAGAGTGTGTTGCCATAAACAACAGACACTAGCAAAAGACACGATATCAAGCAGTATAATAGCTGCTGCTGTCACGAGAATAGTTGAAAATAGAGAGAAATACCGTACAGTTACATTAGTATATAGCATTTATTATGAAGCACTTAGAAGATATTGCATCAAAGTTAAAGCAATACTAAGCAACACCATTACTTTAACCGTGGGGTACCACAATAACTGAAATGTTTTTACTACAGAAGAAGAGAATGTGCTAATGAGATTTAGAAGAGTAGAAGCTTCGCAAGTATACTCTGAACTCAATTCTGCAAAAGTACAAAGTTACAAGCAATCACTATTAAGTTGAGGGTTACAAGGGAAATAAATAATAGAGTTATAGAACAAGAAAAACGGTTGAAAGAAGACTTGAAAAGATAAATAAGTTAGGAAAACATAAAGATGGGAAAGAGTTTCAAAGGGTTGAAGTGCGGGAGAAAAAACTATACGAAAAGTTTTTAGAGAATGCAGGGACAGATACAGTAAACAAATGAGGCTTACCTGAATAAAAAGTCAAACGAAAATGAGTTTTAGTTCATGGAACTAGAGATGATAACTCCTTAGAGCAACAACCACGATAGTATTTTTAGAGATGCAACTTTACGACGACGGGAAAGATGCTTAAGCTTAGCATATAGAGCGGGTCCAACTTCGTTTACAATGCGCTTTTGGACCTTGTCTAAAAGAGAAAGAGCATCATTAGAACAAGCCCAAAATAAGACAACAGTATTTCATACAGGGACAAATAAAAGATTTGTAGAGGCAGAGAATTGAATCATGAGTAAGAAAATGGCTAGCACAATAAAAAGAAGCGTTAGCTTAACTTATGCAATCAATTGTATATATAGTTACCAATAAAAGATCATTAGTGGACGATGATCCAAGAAGACGTAAAGAAGAGAACTTAAAAGTATAAAAGACCTAAAAAGAAAATGACTCACATCTTTGCCAAAAGAGAGATTGCCAGAAACAAAATAGCAAAAAGAAAAGGAGATAGCAATAAAAACTGCAATGAAAATAAAAAGAAATTTCAAGAAAAGAAAATTTTTACAAACGCTGCACCAAAAAATGCCATTGCTGAAAAATGTCATTGTTGAAAAAGTAACAAGGGCTGCATTAGTTAAAAATAGAGACCCCAAAATCAACATGAATAGGCCAAGTTTATATTACCAAGAGTTTTTTGGCTGCTCGAATCTAGAAAAAAACTAAATTTACTGTTAAATTTACGTATGACTTCTTGGTTAAAGTGACTCAAATAACTGAGGCGTAAACTATTTAAATCTTTTGGATACAAATGTTAAAATCATTTAATATATTACTAAGTTGTGTTATGCAAAAATGTATTTATTATTATTAAACATGCACCATTTTATAACTTCATCTTATGTTTCGAATAACCTAAATGGAATATAAATTGCAACAAATTTAATCACAATGGTCTAAGGTACGAATCCGATATTATTAAAGTTGTTAAAATTAATCAAATAACATGAGGCTACTAAAAATTTGCACAAAAAAGAATTGCTTATAACTGTCATTCAAATTATATTATTGTTTCACAACTGATCAAATAAGTAGGGATAACAATAATAGATCATCCTATAACTGAAAGTGTCCCATGATCAATAGCGTAGCAAATTTTAGTCTTAAGCGAGCAAAGAAGGTTTTCAAAGTATTCTGAACTAAAATCTTGTAACTTAAGTTGAATTCTCTTTTTCAGGTGGTAAAAATTTTTTACTTTGAAATCATTTCAATAGAGTCTTTGTTTTAGGTGAGCCCAAAATGTCTCAATAGGCCTTAATTCCGGTACATTTGGTGAATTATCATCCTTAAAAGCATAAGTTATATTAAACTTCTTATAAGTTTCAATTGTTAGCTTTGCATGATGACAGCTTGCACCATCAGGCCAAAATATATATTTTATATTTTTGTGATGCGAATCGATGAAGGGAACAAGCTTCTTTTCAATGCATTCTTTGGAATATATTTTTTGCATCAATGGCATTCACAGTGTTATAAAATAGGTTGTAACCTTAACAACTCTGACCCAGGAAAACCCTTTGGTGGAATGATAGATCTATTATTAAGGTAATCACTTAGATAAAATTATCAAAATCAGATTACAACAACCTGACAAGTTATTTGCATTTAAATTTTTGTCCCAGTTAATAAAAAACGTTTAATATACGTATTAATACGTATTAAAACGTATTATAAACGTATTAAACACGTCTTGTGATTGATAAAATGTTTTATTGATGGTACAACATGCAAAATGAGAGCTTATTTTGCTTTTTATAATATTAAAAATCTCTATCTTGTTTATATAGATGTAAATATCTAAATTTACATCTATATAAACAAGGAAAATTAGAGCCATGAGAAGTGCATCAAAAAATCACTTTGTAAAAGTTGGAATTGATGGAGGAGGTGGGTTTCTGAAAGTAGCCTGGGAGCTATTGAACTAAATCATGAACCTAGCATTCCCCAAGCAAAACTCAACTGCACAAGCAAAGTTTTTAAGGACACTGGTGTAAAACAACAACTCATCGTTGCTGTTTTTGAGGAGCTTCAAGAAATTTATACTAACGTTTTGTAAGTATTTGAGTTAATTAAATTGAACCAAGAGTTTGTCATACCCTGTGATCTAAAACTTGCAAATATTATTTGTGGACATCAACTACTCTTAAGTACACATCCATGCACCTGGTGTGAATCTGGTTTAAAAGAACTTATAAATCAAGGGAAATTGAGGACTTTTGAATCTTTAGAAAAAAATGTCTCACTCTTCAAATCAGCTGGATTCAATATCAGAAAAGTTTGTGACTACAAAAATTCTGCTCATTCTTCAATATTTAAACTACCTAGAGACACTTTAGTTTTTTGAAGTTTCTTCCTTTTATGGAATTGTATCTCCTAATTAGATCTTTTTACTGGGCTACTTCAAGTTTTTCCTCGGGCAACTCTTTGGACTGATTAAACATTAAACAACTGACTGATTCATTACACATTAAAC